TTCTGCTGGCTCCCACACAATRCTCATGGAACTCCTCTCTTTGTTTGTGTTTGACTTGCCATAAAACACTAATTMTTGACAGCGAATGAAAACGAGGGAAATTAAATGAAGTGGAGGAAGATYAAGGTGAGCTCAAGCTCAGAATGTGTCTGCAGCTCATTTGGACATTGCATTAAAATATAAACACCAAAKATTTAAAGAATGACATCTGGTTACCTCGTACACTCTGCCATGGCACACTGAGTGCTGAGCTGGTTTTATGTGTATTCAACAGCAGTAAAGAGCCAGAATTAGTATTATATTAGCATATAATCTCAAATAAAAGTGAGATAATTGCTATGATTGCTTTTGAAGGGATCTTTTAATGTTTGAAATTCAACACTGACAACAAAAGTGATGCTAATCCTGGCTGAAAGATGGTTTACAAAAGCCTAAAAGAGCTGAATTTCAGAATCAAGTTGATGTCACTGTACATYGATACAGGTGGGAATCTAGGGTTACTGGGTTTTATTTATTTATTAATGATACTTCATCTGAAGTACAGGTTTCCCTCCACTACAATTAGAATACAGTAATCAGGGATTAGTATATAAAGGGATGTTTTAATGAGATAATCTATTTTACTGTGAACTATCAGCATGTTTTCCTTATTTCTGGGGTATGTGTTTACTTAGGTGGCTGTTATTACTTTATGCGTTCAAAAACGGAGATCTATWAAAGCAGTTTTTAAAAAGATGTTATGCAAACAATGTAACACTATAAGGAAAATCCCTAATAATTCAACCAGAATAATTCTGGCAGAGAATCCGAGTATTGCAGTTTCCAGGAATGTTTAGCATTTGTTCCTATGAAATTCAAGAAAAAATAACTTTTGGTTAGTTAGTTGGTTTTGGGATTCTTCTTTGCTCTGTTAGAGACATCTGAAATTTCTATTGTGTTGATCATCTGAATATTTATATAACTTGTATACGTTGTTTTCACCTGAGGTATCATTAAATAATATTAAAGCAGTTTTTAAAAAGATGTTATGCAAACAATGTAACATTATAAGGAAAATCCCTAATAATTCAACCAGAGCAACAGCTGCTAAATAATGTTCAGTTAACAATAGTGCAAATTCTGGCAGAGAATCGGAGTATTGCAGTTTCCAGGAATGTTTAACATTTGTTCCTATGAAATTCAAGAAAAAATAACTTTTGGTTGGTTGGTTGGTTTTGGGGTTCTTCTTTGCTCTATTAGAGACATCTGAAATTTCTATTGTGTTGATCATCTGAATATTTATATAACTTGTATACCTACTGTTGTTTTCACCTGAGGTATCATTATTAAATAATACTAAAGCAGTTTTTTGTTTGTTTTTAGAATTTCAGAATTAAACTTGAAGGTGTGGTTCTGAGACATACAGGACATTGATAAGTTCTTGCTAGGAATCTAAATATATAAAACAATTGTCTTCAAATCAAGGGCTACTTACTTCTCTAAGAATCAGAAGAAAGTTGTGTTTTGGTAAATCGTTGACAGGTTGTGGACTAGTCTTGYAGCCTTTGTGTTCTGTTTGGCATGAAGTGCAGAGTTAATTAGCAGTGGCAATCAACCAAAGCCATGACTTTGAGCAGATGCAAAAGAAACATCAGCAGTTGTCTCAGGTGAGATCAGAGGAGAGGTGTTAACCTGAGACCAACTACAACAGTGTAAAGAGATGCTGCAGCAGCTGCTCTCAAACCCACACAACTCCATCTTTCAGCCCTGCTTGTGTCAGGGCCAATTGTATCCTGATCCTGGATAACAGATTCTGCCTTTGTAATGAGTTTGGGAGTCACTAAAATAGATACTCAGTAACCTCTGTGTTTGATAGCAGTGTTGATGTCTGGGTGCTGATGGCAGAGAATCTTAGGTGTTTCCAGCTATGATCATTGAAMAGGACCKTTACAACAAAATGAATTCTATCTGCCACCTCAAGCTGTCTCTTAGGGCACATGCTTTAACCATACAGATCACCATAATGTTTAATTGGAATTGTTGCTTGGGCTGTAGTATTTTACCTATTTTAACAGAGAAGTTTGAGCACATGCTGTAGTTCTTGGTTTTTTTTGGTCCTGTGCATTACTGTGATGAAGCAGGAAAGCCAGGCCTCAGTGACAAAGCTTTCTTTCCCTGCAGCAGCAGAGGAYATTACCCAGAGCCCTGAGCAGAGATCTGGAGTGTAGAACCCAAGGTACAASATAGATCCTGCAGCACTGTGCGTTTGCAGCTAAAGGAAAACAGGTACTTTACTCACATTAGGGGAAATACCATATGAACTTTCCTCATTTTATCATTCTGTGCAAATGGATTTGATTTCTGTTTGAAAATAACAGAATAGACTAACGTAGCTGAGTAATTATTGTTACTAATTCATAGACACTGGTCTGATAAACTTATTTTTTCACTTAAGAAGCTGTCCTGGAAGATCTCTGCTAGCATTTGATGTATGTTTGTCTTTAAATGCTCTTGGAAAAGCTTCTGTGACTCAGTAATGCAATTTTCTGTCTCTGACCCTTAATGTAATTGTCTAGCATGTTTCTGTCTGCATTATAGACAGCGTCAGATGGAGTGCTTTAAAAATCTAAATTGTTCAGATTTTCTGTCTGTTTTAGAAATAACTGTGCCCTAATATTGCAGGTTGTGAATAATCTGGATGCTGCCTATTGTGGCATGTAAAATATAAGTCCAGTGGTATTATACTGTATAATGTATGTATTCTGTATAAAGTATGTATAATATTATATATTCTACATATATATATATGTTACTAAAGGATTTTTGCACATGGCTGCATTTCACTGTGCCCCACAATGTAAAATAAACCAAATAGCACAGAGGTACTTCCARCTACTTCTGTGTTCACTGCCTGGCCTCAATGATTCCAGTGGATTTCTGCCATTAATATCAGCAGTAGGAGGGTGTAGAGCCCTTAGTGAGGTTTGAAGTAAAATTACTCTATCATTAGAGTTCACTGTATCACAAATAATCATCAAAAGTCACTTGTTTAACAGAAACAGCCTAAAGAAAGGAGAAACAAGGGTCTCGATTCAGACAARCTCTTAAAACACGTGCACCAAGCACGGGACAAAATTCTGTTGGCAAGAGGCAATCCYGTATTTAGGGTCTCAGACCTCCAAATGTCTGATTCCAGAATGTTCTTCACTTTGAGGGAATGTATGTTTATGATCAGGCAGCAGTTTTTCCAGCTGAGACACAATTTGAAGAGCTTTCTTAAATCCCCTGGTAAGTAGTTACAGRAATTTCCCAGTACCTGACAGCCTGKGAGAGTGAGAGGCAGAGAGGAAAGGAAAGCAGGTGAGTGTGTTTTTGTACAAGAAAACATTTTCTCACTGATCTGCTTAGTGGTAATGCTGGAAGAAGGAAAGGTCTAAAAACCTCTCTAGTCACAAGCTCTTCTTAACTTTCTGGAGTGATCACCRGAGCTGATACCAGACTTACCTTGTCATGAATTTTTTACTGTTCTTAATGGAATGGTAAGTGGTGAAATTGTCTTAGATTTGTAGGCCTAGCAGGCTAATCAGGGTGGAAGTAAGTGTGGTTAAATAAAGGAGCTGCCTGCTATCTCAGAAGTTATCTGAGCTGTCTGTTCCTTTCTCTCTTATTTAGCCATTAATGTTGGTACAATCCTTGAAAATGTCTGGGTGACCCATATTGTACAATAGAAACATAAAACATTAAATCAGCTCAGACACAAAGTATTTTCTGACAATAATGAGAGCTTTTAGCCCTGCAATCAGGCCGCAGTTATTAATTCTGCAAAATTTCTTTTTTAAATTGCTTTCTTGAAATGACATTGAATTCATGAATGTGTTTGATGGATAATTCTTTTTTCACTCTTACAGAAAATTCTACAATTTTAGGACCTGATTGGCACATTAGAATTAATGGAAATGCATTTTTAGCTAATGCATAGGGCATAAACACCTTATTGAGTATTCATTAAAGCCTTCTAGATTTCTTACAAGCCTGTTTGGCTGTGTGTTGATTTTGTTCACACATCTAAAACAAAACCCTGATATACTGCAGTGTTTCATTAGGTACTATTAACAATGAGCTCATTTTTGTAGCCCAACATTTGATTGCTCTGTGTGTTTATACTATGACAAAATTGTGCTGACATCATCACACTCATAGTTTTCAACCCCAACCCAGGCCTAGTGCATGAAATGGATGAACTTCAGTTAATGAGCAGCTACTCAGACTTTTGCTTTCTCCCCATTCCTTATGTCTGTCTTGCTATTTCAATCTGTCTGCAAAGAAAAAAAGATTCATTTCTTAGCAATTTTTAATGACACTCTTCATCTGATTATACTTTCCTCACAAACATTTATGCATTTTACACCCTGTGAGATGTGGGTGTTACGATATCCTCAGTGCTGAGAAGGAGAAAAGCAGCACAATGTTGATTTTTTGGGCAGCATTGCCCCGTTTGCTCTGATGGAGCTCTGGGGAACTTTTCATTTCTTCGAAGTGTTTTTTGCTGGAGTGGCAGGTGGGACAGGAGGAATTCATTCAAGCACAAAGAACTCTGTTGTAACTTCTCCTCTGCAGCAGAACAATAGTGCCATCGGGTGGGCAGSAAGGTGAAGGATTCCTCGGGGAATTTTGAAGGTATTGCTATTTCAGTAATCTAAATTCATCCTGGATCCAGTTGATCTTAAGTTGATGACTTAATTAGTGCAAGGTCCTGCAATATAATTAGTCTCTGAAATGTTATCGGTTGCATAAGGAATGACAGGGAAACATATGGAAAACCTAGGAAACATTAAATATTCCTCTTGATTGAATGTCACTGCTACCAGTTACCACAATCAGGTTTTACACCCGGACATTTTATTAATTCTGGGTTTTTACAACCTGGGCTAGCTATTTATGCAAATATTGAAAATTCARTGATCCACAGAGATGCTTTTAATTTCTCCTCTTAATATTTTTGTTTGTTTCTGTAATGCCCTAAATTCAGATGAGCAGAGTGGATTCCAGTTCAGTCCACCAGTGGCATAGACCTTCTGCTTAAAACACCTGGGAGCGTGGYTCAAGTAGTGCTTGTACTACTTCAGATGTTTTCCAGCAGTATGAAATCACTGCCAACAATTTTTCGTGGCCTTTCAGGGTACAAAATGTTTAAATAAGTGGTAGGTTTGCAATAGGAAAGGTTGTTTATGGCACATAGATCTTGGTTTTTATCTTACTGCTGGTTATGATTTGACCAGTGCTTGAAACTCTGAAAAAAAAGGAAAAAAGAAAAATAAAATGGGATCTCAATTTGTAATCACACAGTCAAAAATTTCTTTCCTAATTTTTAGGGTTAAAATGGGAAATTAATGCTACTTCCTTTGATAATCATTCCCTAAAGGCAGCACATTGTGTATTTATAACAATAGATACTTTAGGCTAAGGAAGTGTTGCATTTAAGTGTTCCATAGTATCACAATTCATTAGCAAAAWGCTGTGAAATTATAGCCTGAATTTCGGTTCCAGTCCTGAAGAAATCTCCATAATGAGAAAAGGGACTGACCACTTCAGCCAGGGGCGGAATACAGAGCAGTTGCTGTCAGATCCTCTGTGTGACACCAAGCAGRTCTGAGCACTGCAGTACCAGACCCAGAACATCCCAGACAAGAGCAGGGCAGATCCTACAGCTGCCTTTAGGAAATTCAAAGAGCTACCAACCTTTTAATAAGGACACTCTTACCATCCACTCCGATTTTGCCATCTCCATCACTGTCACCTGCTGCCAGGAACGCCTTGGTCTCAGCATCAGTCAGAGCTCTGGCACTGGCTGAGAAATTCTTCAGGAAAAGTCTGTTAAAGGTGGCACAACAAATAAATGAGGCACAGTACTCAAGTGTACGGAATTTGGATTGGTAATAGCTGTAAAATTGCAAGCACAGTTCAATTCTTGAGAACTGTTTCGATGGCAAAACTCCCTCTAACTTCATTGAGAGTGAGGGTAAGAAAGMAAGAGAATGCTGCATCAAAACTTGTAAAAAATCCTTGATGACATCTTGGTTTCATTGGATTAAAAAGGCAAAATTAACACTGACTTTAGTGGCAGGATTCATCTTCCCTCCCTTGTTATCTTCCTTCTCTCTCCTAAGATACAGACTCTTAGCATCAAGAATTTCTCTAGCCTTACTTTTAACTTCAAAGTCAGATGAATGTGATCTGGAAGGTAGAATTTGTGTGACAGAAAGGAAGATGAGAGAAAGATGGCTCTTTGAATTCAGTCTAGTAAAAAATCTTACAATAATAAAAAGCAGCTGTAGCAGAGCTATTTTTACCTTCTCAGTCTGTCAGTTATTGCTACATGAAACGAGTATTTTCAGTGCTGTCAGAGTTTTCCCACTGTGATCCAGCCTTGCCTTTGTTATTTGACTTACAGCTCCTCCAGCAGCAGCACTCACACACAGGTGCACAAACACACAATTGTCTCTCATCCAAAGGGACAGAAGGGAATATTTCTGATCTCGTCATGCATTTTTACATGATAGAACTCCACCTTGTTGGTAACTTTTTCATTTACTTACTTCAATTCYTCTTCCTCAATAAAGCCACTCCTGTCCTGGTCAAGAATTCCGAAGACTTTGGCAACTTGGTCTTTGGACTTGGAGTTGAGACCCACTTTGACAAAAAAGGTTTTGTAATCAAATGTATCATCAGCTGAAAGAAGCAGATGGAAACAAGAAGAGATGAAGAAAAGTAGTCAAAATCTGGAACAAAAAAAGGCTTTCTGATCAAAAAGTAGCAAACTATTCTGCAGTACAGTGAGGGTCATTGCAAACCCCAAGTAACAGTCTTTGATTTTCCTCAATTTATATCAGATTAATAGAATTTTTCCATCAGTGGTGTCTCACACCTAGGAAGATAATGAAATAATAACTATGGTCTTCAGCATGCAAGAACATACACTTGTAAACAGATACTTCACTGAAAGACACATTTGTAGAACTTGATGACAAATATTGAGCTTGTATTGAAATCAGCAGTAGTTTTATTATTATCCTCTGAAGAAACATTTCTGCCACAGGATTTTAGCCTTTGGATTTTTTTCATCCTTAAAATTGCTGCAATGCACAAGTGATGATGGGTCCCTGTACCTTGGTTGGCCAAGATTAAAACTTGTATTTGTTTCATTACCTTGCTTCCTTCTTCTGCTTTTAGCAAGAGAGCATTTTCTGTTTCTGTTGGAACTGGAACTTTGGGGTATCAAGGATAAAGGAATTGATAGATAAACTGAAAAGCCAAATTTAAAACATAAACATTACCTTGGCAGCTCTGTAGACCAGCAGCGATTTCAGCTTCTGTCAGGATACTGGAAAGAGCCATGTCAAAATTACTGCAAAATGAAAAATACTGTTGGRTGGGGGTGCCAGGGCATTKCTGTCTGAGCTGTGGAGGCAGCCCYGAGGACAGCCAGGTCCATGGGGGGCAGTGACCCTGGTGCCAGGGCTGAGCAGGGCTGAGCCAACTGCTCCATCCTTTATTTCAGACACACAGCATTCATCCCAGCCACTGGTGTTTCCAGTCAGGACTGCAGGTGTACAGTGAGGACAAAGCCAAATGGATTTATAGACCTGCCAGGCATTTGGGCATCTTGCGTTATTTCCATGCATCTATTTTTGGTGTGAATTATTGTGATGTTCTCTAAAGCTCCGGAGGAAAGATTGAACTCACCTGGCCACTTAGCCTTCCCCAAGCCAAGAACTGAAAATATTGTAGCTAAAAGAGCTGCAGAGTCCTCTTGACTTAATTCTTTTGCAAATGCCATAGAGAAGGACTTATATAGACCTTAGTTAAGTCCTCTTGACCTTTTACAGAAGTCCTGGAGCCACGTGATGGCTCAGATACCCCAGGGGATAAGTTACTGTGGCTGACAAGTCCTGCTAGCTAATCAGATTGATATTTATATCCCAAAGGAATGTGSATGATGTTTTAGACAATATGTAAGGTTTAGCRCYRKGAAAAGTAAATTCTTACAACTTGCWCCTGTTTTTGTGAAGTGAATCATTTTCGATGTATAAATGAAAAATTACATATATTTTAAATTGCTTAATGGTAGCAAGGAATGGACATCTCCTTGATAGATTTTGACTTTTAAGGGCCCAATCCTGATATGAATTATCCATGAAACACTACTCCTGCAGTTGCCCTAGTAGTATTCAAAACACACTAATACTGACACATTTGTAATAGATATATCTGATATGTAAGTACGAGCTCAAAGATAAAACTTCTTCAGCCCAAAATATTTTTAATAAGTCATTATATAAGCTTGGATTAGCTATAAAAGTCTGATTTTGACAGCATTTGTTCAGCATTAATTAATTGCATGGTGCGCATTTTTAAATCCTCCTAATAAATGTGTCTGTTCATAGAGTGAAGAGTTGTTCAGCAGGACACAGGAGGGTGGATCAGTAATGGCCAGGAGGAAAACAGAGCAGTAAAATCAGTGATATTTGGTTCTTCCTTGCTGTGCTGAAAAAATAAACTTCTGTAAGGACACAAACTGCAGCTAAGCTCAAACTGCAGCTTTTCTCTCACTGGATATTGATAGGAACCCCCACTCAGTTATCTCATGAAGTCTCTTGATTTCATGAGAATTATGTAATTCAAAATCCATGCTGTGTGGTAAATTGGACATTGTGAGAACTAACTTTTCTGGATGATATAAGATCAGCTAAACAAGTTACTTTTAAAGACGTTTTATCCCAAACAGGTGGATATCCCAATTAAATTATTCRGTTTTTCCTTTGGGAATATAGCTCTGCCTTTGGCTCGGGTTACTAGGAAGTAAAAGTATGGCCTGGGATCAGAGACGATCTGATAATTGTATGGGAATTACTGAGCATTCGAGAAGTAATCCTTGTGAGGAGCCCACACTGAGCATTTCTAGAGCAGAGTTTTGGAGTATTTTGTGGCAAACCATCACTTGCCCGAAGGTGGCACCAAAGACAGGCAAGCCCAGCCATGAGAGCTATGCAGGACTTCGGGTGAGGGAAAACTGAGGATGTGTGTATTTTTATGCTGGCTAAATTTTGCAGTTGGCTAAATTATGGAGGTTATTGCAAACATAAAATCCGTTTGTTCTGAGAGCCTGGGAGTTAAAGCTGAAAGTCACTGTCTGGAAAATGCAGCTGATWAATATGTCATTGCAATGGAACTGATGTGATTCCCTTTAAGTATTTGCATATKCTACTTGGACAGAAATTCCCCTTTGAATTTAGGGTTGATAATACCTTTGCAACTTCAGGAGAAGGCATTGTTTAGGGTTWCTTTCTTTTCATATTGCAGCTGGTGTGATGATTTGATTTTCTTTCCTGCAACTTGATAGGAAAAAACCTCTGATTTTCTTGTTTTCATGTGCAAGACATGCTGACAAACAAATCAAGAGTTCTGGAGCAGCCATACCCTGCTGGTGTACACAAAATGTACCAGAAAGTCCAGAGCAATGTAATGCTATCTTTCTGTGCTTACAACCAAAACTACTGTGGAAATTAAGTTTTGTAAAATGCGAACACTTTCGTTTATATTCCACAGCATCCTCTTACTAAAACACATGAAAAATGAAGTACGAAAGTKAGGTGCATGTCTGTTCAGGGATTTAATCAAGATGTATCTATTTCAGTAACCCATTCCAGGAAATGAATCCAGCCTTGGCCCCCTGTGCCCCCACTGCTTGTGTGAAGAGCTCCAGGCACCTCTGATGATGCTGCTTCAAAGATTTTCCACATGGGCTGGCTGCTAACTCAAAGAAGAAACTGTAGCAGTCTGTGTGTGCAATGAATSTTCTGACATCCCCCTGCCCTTTCTGTGCTCTCTGCTTGCTAGAGGATGACTGAGGTTTTGAACAGTTGSAGAGCTGAAACTGAATCTCAAGTTTACAAACAGCTTTTGGACTGGGCTTTGCAAAGGAACATGAAGTTAGGGGGCAGCAGTCTCTGCTGAATCCTGTGGCAGCCCAAGGCAGGGATGTGCAGTTGTTCAGGATCTCTGAAATGCAGGATGGGCGAGACTGCATTCCACATGAGACTCTGGAGSTGCAAAGAATGCCGTGTCAGGTCTGTCACTTCTGGTACTGTGTGTGCCATCTGCTTGTGAGCCAGTGACAGGATGGTTCAGTGATAGCMGTGGAGAGCTAATGTATTTATTATATCTGGAAATTGCTGCAGATCTGGGCTGCCCCAGGTTTTTCTCCTCAGCAGGGAAATAATTGAGGTAAAAGGAACCAAGACAGTCTCTTCATTATGCAAAATATTTCAGTGCTGCAATTAGCACAGCTATAATTTAAGCCCAGATTTAAGATCAAAGGCAGTAGGGATAGATTTAGGATTTATATTCRTTATAATTCTGCCAAGGCTTTGGTGAGTCTGATTGCTAGAATTCCTCTTTTGCATTAACCGTCTTAAATGTGTCGACCCACTCTCGTACATGCCTGGGAATGAGGGAGCTCTACTTGCCTCACATAATCATCTTGCAATTCATGGAAATTCCAGCACTGGATGTTACATAAAAGTTCCAGAAAGCTTTGTTTCTGCCCTTCTTCAAAACAGCTGCCAAATCACAATTATAATTTGGTTTTAGTGTATAAAAATGACAGTCCACTTGTGAGCTGGAGCCCAGCATGGTACACGAGGGAGGAAACAGCTCAGTCTTGGTGGGGAGATTTCTGACACACCCAGCCACRAATGCACAGCATCCACTCAGCCTGCTGATGTCTGCATTTAACCATGAGCATCATTTATTTGTCCATTAATGAAGACAATCCTACAACCAACTCTAAATCCTGTAAGACACTTACCAAAGGGAAGACTAGTTCTTAGTAGTGTTCAGACTGAAAAAAACTGCTGCTATTATGGAACACAGAGATGATAATTCATATAATAAATGAAAGAATTGGGTAATTAATTGGCCATTATTTAACAATGTAACTGAGCTTTAAGGTAATCAAAGAGCAAGACTGGCTGTTGTTTCATCTCTGGAAAACACAGAAATTCACAGATGTGGCAAAGTATTATTGTTTTTTATGTGTTAAGAGACAATGGGCAAGAGGCTCATGATTCATGGAAAATCCTCCGGGCCTGTGGCCCAGGTCAGGGGATCGTGGCTTGGGACAGTGTCAGAATAGGATTAGACCCTTCTCCTCTATCTCACGGCTGCCTCAGATTTCATGAAAGATAAATCTTCTTAAGGGAGAGTCACATTTTAGGCCATAAACACTTTCTGACGATACGATTACGCTGTAATCTACTACTTTATTTTGTAAAATTACCCACAAACTTATTCTGTGCTTTGAGCATGTGTGAACTCCTCTTAAATGTCTTAATTTTATTTTCTCGTGGTCACAGGGTTGGGACTTAATATGAATTATTTCTAGCTATCTTCTTAGCATTGCTTTTCCTCAAGTATCAGAGAATTAATCAGAAATAAACCTTAATTAAATCAGTACAATTAAGCCTCAGAAGATATCATATGGTTTAAGATCATCAAAACTGTGTCTGGCAAGTCAGCATGCTCAAGTATGACAAAATTTTTAAAAACAGCTTTTCCACCCAAGCATCTTTTCACTTGGTTGATTTTTTAATTTTTTCTCCCCTCTTCCAGCCACAAKTTGAACATTATCAGTGGTTGAAAAATCACAAAGTGCCTTCTTTACAATGGAAATGTAATAATGCCATGTGACCAAAACATTGCAAGATTTCTCAGCAATCAGGTGTGTGAAGTTCACGTGTGGGGAACTGTTAATTCCTGAAACAATAGAAAAGTGTACAAACAAACACATGCTGAGTGCCAAGTGCTTGTTGGACGAGGTAATTGGCAGAGTCAGTCCAAGGSTGCCTTTGGTCTAATGCTGTTTATGCCTTCACCAGAGACTGGAATTCTGTCAAGGAAAAGAGTGAAAAAAGCAGGGGATAAAATACATTAAAAGTGATTTTTGACATCTTTAAAGAGATAGATAAAAATGACTAAAACTCCAAGGCATGAAGGACTTCCAAAGTTATTATAACACTGCACAAGCTACTGCTAAACTGAGATTCTGGGGGCGTAACAGATTTTTCACTCCTTAAAAAGAGTAAGTGCGGAGAGGAGGAGTGCGTCTGTAAATTTGTATTTGTGGGAAATCCTGAGTTAAAGGTAAACTATCTTTACCCCATTACAAACTTTATAAGAGCCAAGGAAGCAGAGTTTGTAGCTTTCAGTGAGAAGATTTTTATTTTGGTTTTGTTATTCCAAATAAAAACTATTCACAGTGATGCAATTTCAGAATGGGAGATTCTGTGGTTAAGGGCCGAGATGTGCATAATATAATGCCCTATTTGGGGCTCATAAACAGAAGCAGCAAAAGCTGCTGCTAAAGCAAATTCCTCCACCAGCGATCTGTCTCTCCCAAATCTGGCTAAGATTARCACGTGTGTCTGTTGGAGTTACTGCCACCTGTCCCAGTTCAGCTGAGACAGCCCTGTTTTAGTGACTTCATCTCYAATACATGATGCATAATGTCCTATTTTTCTGGGCTGCAGTTTCGAAAAGAAATATCCTGGCTTGTTCACATCATCCCTGTGGGGTTTTCTTCAGGAATTTGATTGAGTTTCTCCAAGGAGTGCCCGGTGCAATGTGCACTTATCAGATCATTTTCCAGCACAAAATCCTGTGCTGCACTGCAGCAGTTGCAGCCTTGAGAAACAACACCAGTCATATTTTAAATTAATGAWTTAAGCACTCAGTAACAGTGGCCAATGTTTGATAGTGGAAGATGAAGAACTAAGTAGCATTAGGTGGAAGTGTATTTAAAAATTAAAGCATCATATGGCCAGAAGTGTGGAGCATCCATTGCTGAAATGGAAATTCAGAGAAATTCAGGTGCTCTGAATGTTTTAAAAATCTGGCACATTGAGTCTATGGATCAGACACACGGCAGGATTAACCCCAAAGCTGTTAGCATTCATTGAAAAACCAGACTCTACACTGGGCCTAAATCTTCTGTTGCTGCAACAAAGACCAAATGGGAATACAGCTATGAAAATATAGGAGAATGAAAATATATGAAAATTATTGCTCAAATAAAAATTGTGGCAGCAAGTATCAGGCCAAAGCACTTGGGTATGTTCTTCATGCCTCAGCAGCATGAATGAAATTTAAATGCAGCCCGAAATGTGTGCATTTTAAACTACAAATGTTATCAAATTTCCAAAAGTCTTACCTTCCACTCCAATTTTGCCATCACCATCAGTGTCTCCTGCAGCCATAAAAGCCTTGGTCTCTGCCGAGGTGAGGGCTCTGGCACTTGAAGAGAAATTCTTCAGGAACAGCCTGRAATAGAAGAGGGTGCTGTGCTTGAGTTTTACTCTCTGAAATGTCCCATAAGATAATATCTGCTCTTATTGTCTGAGGAAATCCACACAGATTCAAGGAAAGACAAGGATTTGTGTTTTATTTTTAAATATAACATCAAGGGTTTCTTCTAGGACTCCGAGCAAGTTCAAAGGTTTTTGTTGTTTAAAGCAGTAGAACAGTACTTACTGCAGCTCCTCTTCTTCAATGAAACCACTCTTGTCCTGATCAAGGATTCCAAAAACTTTCTTTATCTGATCAGGAGTTTTGCTGGATAAACCAACCATGGAGAAGAAAGAYTTGTAGTTGAAGGAATCATCAGCTGGAAGAAACAGAAGTTGTTAAATATTCTGCCTCGGAGTTGTTACTACAGTGTGTATTCCTGGTGAATATGTATGTCTTCTCTTAAGCATGCCTGCTTCTCTTTCTCTCGTTCCCTGGTGTAGCAGAAGAGCAGAGACAGTGGATAATAATTTCCCTTTTTAATCACTCTGTGCCTSTGGTCATATTTCCTTTCAGCCAGTTTGAAGTTTCTGCTACAATGCACATTCTGCTGGATCAGGATTTATGCAACGTGTCACATGCAATTAATAATAAATATTTAGAGGGTGCTGCTGTGACTTACAAGCAACTCCTGTAATTCTTAATTCATTTTCAYTGAGTCTTTACTTAGGCAAAGAATTTGATAGAAAAGTAAGTAAATCAGAAAGAAATCAGATCTTTGAGTATTTGGAAAACTGTCTTGATCTTGCTGAGCAGCCCTTAAGAGAAGGGAGGCTGATCATTGCTTCACACATGGCACTGTGATTCTGCAAGCTGAGGCTTCTTCTGAAATTTTGAAGGGTTTAAACCTTTTAATGAAGGGTTTTAACCTTTTTTGAAGGGTTTTAACCTTTTAACAGGTTTAAACACGGACAGTTTAGAGTTAAGCCAGCCCTAACTGAAACTGTGGCCTTTTAATTGCTGCTCACCACTTGCGAGTCCTTTTGAATTTAAGGGGCTATTCTGTAATGTAGCTTAGGAAGAGATCTCAGCAGAAAGGAATCTCAGGGGAAAATGATAGGCATGTCATCTTAAGACATAAAAATGATACGCATCTTGTGTCTGCAGAGCCACCATTCCTTACCCTGGCAGCTGGAGAGAGCAGATTCAATGTCTTTAGCAGAGAGGATGTCAGTGATGGCCATCGCTGAACTGGAAAATAAATTAAATGTGAGCYACTTAGTCATGAAAATGACTTCTGTCCTATTTTCATGGCTCTATTTGAAGTTGCTGCTGCGACAGTGTGATAGGGGAGGCATTATTCATCTGATGGCAATGGAGTGCTCTGGAACAGATGTCTGCAGCAGGTGCTTGCACTGAAAGCTGGGAATGAGGGAGGAATTCTGCACGCGGCAGCGTGGGGCTTCAGCAAGAGCTGCTGCCTCTGCTCTGCTGGGAGAGCAAATCCAAGGTGTCCAGCACCACACAGCTTCATGACTTCTGTGTGGGTTTTCCTGGAGGTGGATTATTACTCAAATAAACCCRGGACATATTTACAGCACACATGAGGGATAAAGCTTGATAATATCTCCTAGGACTGTATCTGGAATAAGTGAAAAATCTAGTACTGTTATCAATAGAGGTAGTGAACTTCATAAAGAATGAAAATATTCGTAATGGTAATTTTAATCACATAAATTTGGAGAGTAAGTTCATCCTCTGTTTAATTGCAGCAATAAATGTGCCTTACTGGGCTGCTGCATCACTAAAAGACTACATTTCATAAGAACTTTATAAAAAAGTTTGTGTAAGTATTTTGTGTGGAGGTTTTTCTTTGTATTCTATATAGATTATAATAAACCTTATTTTTTTCCCAAATTTTGCAATTTCAGTAGATTGCTGTGCTTAGAACAGAAGTATGGAGACTTAATATCCATTCTTACTAGAGTGGAGGAGGTGTTTTCTCTGACACAGCAGCATTTCATTTGAGATAAATACTCTGACCCATTCCACCACCAACAGCTGCAACAATTTGCCAATGTATCACTTAACAAAATGCTATAATGCCTGGATTTCTGATCCATTTTTAGTGGATCGATGCATTTACAATTTGGTGAATTGCACACACCAGTGCAGACAGGTTACAGTTTAAAACTCACAACATTACTCTTAATTCGTGTTAGTGAAAGAAGGGGACTAAAGCATAGAAAAGTTATTCTTGAAAGCCACAAGAGAATAGAAACATCTTTTCATTAATTCCTGACTGGTCTTCAGCAACATCWCTCTTCCTGTCTAAGTACAGAATGAGAAAGAAGGAATCAACTGGTGGTACCCATTTATATTCTGTGCACTGGTTTGAGATCAAAACACAGGTTTCAGCTTTGCCTTTGCTGTAGCTGTTGGTTTGCAGCAGAAGAAACTGTGGATCATTTTAGTCCCTTTCTGAATACCCTTTTATCAAAAGTATTGGGGAAGTGATGGGACACATTCCCGCTGGTGGCAGTGGATCCTTCTCCAGCTGAGTTACTTCTGTTTTACAAGCAATTATTTTGTCCCAGTGGTTTCTTGTGCAAAAYACTTCCCCCTCTCAGCATTAGGCAAGACAATTTGGAGCTCAGCCGTTCACCTAATTCTCACTGCTGACAGGATTAAAAAGGGGAAGAGTTGAAGGAAAACCTAAAAATTGCAGCATTTTTACAAGGGGCATCATTCCTGTCTTGTTCATCCTATGATCCAAACATTGATCAAATGATTCAATTCAATGTTAGCTTGGAAAGACACAGCACACTGGAAGCCAAGATAAGAATAGATATTTTAGTTGCTTTCCATTTAGGGAGCATTTTGCTTCTGTGTTTCTTTGAAAGCAGAAGATCTAATCATCTTACCTTTGTGCTCTTCTTTTCTGGGCAGGGAGGCAGGCAGGTTGAGAGGAAGGCRCTTGCTGTGTGTCTCCAGCAGAGCTCAGCTTGCATATATATACTTTAAGTTGTATACCATATACAGATTTTAGATTTCAGCGTCACGGAGGGGGAATGGTGTCAGATGAACTTGCCTAACTAATCATCTTGCACTATTTTTATCTCAAGAGAATACATATGATATTTGCAAACGAAACAAGATAAGTGGCCAGATAGGCAAAAAGAACAGTCATGTCAAATTTCCTCTGATTTAAGCAGAAAACACCAACTTCTCTATGTGATGTAGGGCAAGACAAAAACCCCCACTATCTGATAWGCTTGATCTGAGGAGTCAGATGAAATGAAGCACAATAACTTCTGAAGAGGTGTCTTTACTGAATGCTTCAATGTGATAACTTGTTATTTTATCTGTAGACGCTACATGTGATAGAGTTTCATCATTAGAGCACTAAACAAAAAGAAAAAATTAAAAGTATCCTGTTCAGGTATTGTTTGTAGCAAACCATTCAGAGAAAATAATAGCCATGTTGTTGTTTTGAAAAAAAATACCACACAGTGAATTTGTTGCAATAGRAGGTAAAATAATATTATGTCAATCCATCAGAACAGTTGGTTGGGGGAGGGTATTTCATCTGCTGTATTTCCAGGGAAAATCTTACAATCCTGCAAGATTCTGACAACCTGTTTAGTCGGCTATGTATGAAGCAAAAGGGTTGTGATCTGCCCAGCTGTCTCTGAGCCAAAAGTCCCTGAGCCCCACATGAAAGATTYTTTGCTTTCAGGATAGAGAGAAAAATTTTGATAGCAACATCATCACTATACCAATATCTGAAGTGTCTGTTCAGTTTTCAGCCTGCCTTCAATCTCTTTTAGAGAACTGGTTATTTTCTAGCATTTTTGGGCCAGTGCTGTTTCCAAGTGTTCCTTTGTGCTGGTTATTTTTTCATGGATATAATTTGATCATCTCAATTTTCTTTCACCRATGTTGTAGCCTAACTGGGTGAGGAGCCTGTCAGCTTGGATCTCACTTGTGGCTTGAGGCAGCAGAACAGTGAAAGACAAGTCATATGGATGCCAGCACAAGGTATCATTATGTCCAGGATTAAGGGATGGCCAGGGATGACAGWGCAATTGCCATCACAGCTTGAGGTGGTGGCACAGGGAGAGGTGACGGTGCAGGGCTGTCCCCATGGCTGACAGAGCATCAAGGCAGCTTTTTCCAAAGCATTTCCCTCGAAGCTGGAAGGCAGACCTGGCCAGTCACTGAAGCTGGCACTAATAAATCAGTGCCAGGCAGAAAAGTGGCCAAGGGGGAGTACCCCGAGACCTTATTGCATCCAGCACTGACAGCAGCTGATCAAAAAGCAACAAAAGACCATTGCAAAAATTCTCTGTGAGGAGGAGGTGTCATTTCATTTGCAGCATATAAACATATAAACATAATAAACTTATTCCTAAGAGTTTTCTTTTTACAAGTTCTGCAAGTCTCTCCTCCAGGAAAACGTTTCAGACATAGCTAATTCTTTTGCAGGGAAGMACCATTGGTTAAGAATGGTGCAAGATTTCAGCTTTCCCTGTTTTCTGAATGGGTTCTTGACCAGCTGACGCTGAAAAATTTCAAGAAGAATGTGATGGAGAGACATTTAATCCTGGCTCTTGTCACTGGTGACATCTGGCAGAAGGGATACAAATACCGCTTTCCCCCCTCGAAGTCTTCTAAGAAATTACTTTTATTCTAAACGGGAAAAAAATTTCTCTCCCTCTCACACATACCACCCTTTTCTCCCCCTGCAATTTGGAAAATTGTCTACATAGTGCCAACAACTGATGTGCAGTACGTAGGGTGTCCAGCACAAAAACTGATGGCATGATGTGACCTCATGAAGCTAAGTTAAGAGGAAGGCCAAATTCTGCTGAAACTCTTGGACTGCAGCAGTCTGCACGGGAATTTGGTCCCTGGTGTCTGTTTCAGAGAATGCATTTGATTTTAGATGCAATGGCTTCTCATTTTGCCCAGAGCTAATTCCACATATGTTAACCCCTCGCCCCCACTCTTCCCTTTAAAAATAGCATTGATTGCTGTTATTTGCCTTAATGCCTGTGGACTGTTGCCATTAGTTTGAACTTTAATATSTGAAATACATAAGGATGCAGTCTTTAGAAGGGTGCTTTGTTTTCTAAGAGGCTTTGACAAGGTAATTCCTTTTGTGCCCTGAGATTTTAAGGATAAAGTAYGTAGTCAAATGATTTATGGCTCTAGTCTGCTCAGTGTGTTCAGACTCCTGCAATCATTCATAAACAAACAAAGTACTTGAACCTCCAGATGATTCCATCCATATTTAAAATTTTTTGCAGTTAGTGTCAGAAAACCTGCAGAATCAATTCCTTCCTTAATTCTGAAGCAAAATGTTGATACCAGAAACTATTTTTGAAAGTAATAGTAATGGCAATAACAAGGTATGTGTAGGATAATAATGGTTTTTTAGTAGAAAAGTAAATCACTTCTGCCAAGGCAAATGTATGTATTGAAAACTGAATTTCTCTTCAATATTTGATCTGCCATATTCTGTTCTTGAGCTGTGTTCTTCAAATCCCGTGTGGTAAAATCCCTCAAGGGGATCCTTGTTACAGGAATTGTAACTTTAGTCTGTGTGTTTACACTACGTAGCCTGGTGCAGTCCTGCTCCATGACTGTGGTTTATAAGCACTATAAATAATCCTCAGTTGCAGCAAGCTTTCAAATATAGATGTGTTTGAAATGAACTCAGATGTTTTTCAGCCTGTCTGTATGTTCTGTCTAGTCCTTATCCCACTGTGTAAACAGCAGGTCCCCTATAAACAGAAACAGCTCCTGGGGTTGTATAATTGCAGGAGCACCAAGTGAGAWCTGGGTCATTGTCTGATTGTGCTGATCTGGTTCTGATATCACTGARCAAAGCAGGGCCTCTGATCCTTGTGGCACAGCTGCTTTTCAGGGAGATGTAGCTATATTCCAGGGATGTATGGGTTTCAAAAAMCCCAGTGCTAGCTGACATAAAACTGACTCTGAGAGGTGTTTTCTCTGTGCACAAAGCTTGGGCCCAGTCTGATTTACCAGGTGAGCTGTGACTTAAATCCCTGCTCCTCTGTTTTCTGGGATGAGAAATGGTCAGAACTTGTCCCAGCTCCTTCCAGCTCGGGCTGCTGGGCTTCTTTTCCATGCAAACTGGAGCGTGATGAGGGGCTGGTGTGTGTTTGGGTATTGTCCAAACGGGGAGTTCACATCTCCAGGGCACAGACCCGACCCAGGA